CACACACACACACACACACACACACACACACACACACACACACACACACACACACGCACACACACACAGGTCCTCGACCTCTCTGCCTCACTGCGCTCAAGTGCCTTCTCTCTCTCTCTAGGATCTACCCTGAATACAGCTGCGATGTATCTCCTCAGCCTGGTGGCTCCCCCCTATTATCCTAGCTATGGCTGACTCTCGTCACCGGGGTGCCTGCTTCTCCCCAGGCGCTTCGTCCTTCGTCCAGATCGCATTATCACACAAGCAGCTAGCAGCGCTTCCGCAACTTTCACGAATGAACAACTGCCTTGGCTTGGCACTGTGGCAGCTAAATATAGTTGCAGTTGACTTGTTTGTGCCTGCTTCGGACCGGTACTGGTCACCCGCGGCCTGTGCCTTGCCAAATGGGTGTTTCCAGAAGTCTCCAGACTTTCTTGGGACGCTGCTGCAAATTTGGACTTGGGACTTGACTTCCTCTGCAGGTACTGGCGGACTTTTACCAGACTGTGATGCTTCAGTACCCGGCTCCTACCAACCTCCGACGATTCAGCCTATGGACCCTAAGACCTACCCTACCGGAACAGCCTGAGACCTTGGGACCCGGACTTCGGGGTCTGACTGTGTGAAATCCTTTCACTCAAAATATTCTGAAACAGAGTCCACACAACTTCAGAAACTTGTCCGGATTTCAGGAAATGTGGCCTCCTTTCTCACGGAATCCACTCTTATACCACCAGTCCCTCCAGGCCTATTGTTCTCCACACGAAGCGCTGCAGAGCGCCAAAGAAATACAAGGAACAGACGCAGGCTTTTGCCTGGCATCGCCTGCCGGTTAGGTCCAGTAGGAGGCTGAGCCCCCGTTCGCACAGCAAGTTAACCGCCGTGTCGGAACAAAAAATCTGGGAAAAGGACTGATGGTTTACATTGCTAAGGCCATCACACATATGGCACGATCACCAAAAAACCATTGACGACAGGTACATCAAACAAACCAGTTGGATCATACGTAATCTGGATGGGATGCACCGTGAACAGAAGCAATTTTCTACAGGTAGCAGAAAACAGAAAGAGAGTAAAGAAGACATTTATTTATTTTGTAAACACCACAGGACGGTTGCATTCTCCTGCTTTCTCGAGGATAGGAGCCTACATCCGAGGTACCCTGACGGCCGCAGTGTAACTGCAAGGTCGCTGCAGACAGCAATGTAACCCACACCATTACATAAGTGGGTGATTCAACCTAAGGCCCTGAATGAATTCATAACCTCCTTCTCACTCATACTGAGTCATGCATTATCAAGTTCACCACCTGCTAAAAGCACTATAGCTCCAACCATGGCCACTGTCATCACATGGCTATGAATATCCAGGCATGTGCAGGACCAACTGATCATCACCAAGGTGAGAAGAAACAACAATCCAAAGCAGCAGAAGACAGAAAGGTAGCAATCTGACTCATCAGACTCATGACAACATAATAACATATACTTCATCATCATATATCATAGTGTACAGAGGCAAGGGAGAGTGTACACAAGGGGAGAAACGCCACAGATGATGCAGGTAAGGGAGAGGAGAAGGCAGAGTGTGTGAAGAAGAAGAAGAAGAAAAGAGTGCAACTGAATGGAACAGCTGAATAATGTCAGTCTCTCGCCACATCCCACAATCATCAGCGGTCACAATTCAAGTTCAGACCTCAGCCGTCCAATGGAACCTGCAGTCGATGGTCCAGGATGCAGAACGAAATTCTGGTCGAGTGTGCTGGACCAAAAAGGCCTGCCCAGGTCCTTACTGGGCGTCCAGGCCTTTCCGCTGATGCAGCAGGGATGTCCTAGAAACGGACAAGTGATGGACCAGTACTAGGGGACGAAAACTGACCCACCCCAGGTGCGAACGAAAAGTCTGCTGGCCTCAACACGGCCACTTTAGCGAACCAGACCCTCCATTGGTCCGAACAGGCACCTGGGCCAGTTCAAACGAAACCAAGTCTGGACGTCCTATCTCCAGACTAGACCAAACCTGGAACAGACGAAAGACCAAAAAATGCGGACACCAAATACATGTAATAAAAAATCGCAAAAGATAACCTAACTGCAATAAAACGAATAGAAAAAGACAACCAAACGCACACTGCCTGGAGGGGGACGTATCTGGCCCGAAGGGCTCCCAAAGTGTGGGCCATGCGGTCTGAGGGCCCCCGAGTCGAATGCCAGCCCCCTTGGGCCCCAAGTGGCGTGTCCAAGCATGCCATACCACTACTCAGGATAGATCAGCTATCTCCTACAGTACTGACAGCAGCTGCTAACCTTAAAAAAACTGCTGGCAGGAGTCGCAGGACAAGATTGTCAGTCAAGCTGTCCTTCAGGACATCCGTTAAAATTGGAACGATACAGAGAAGGGTAATTAGCAAAATGGCCCCTGTGCAAGGATGACACGCATAAAATCGAGAAATCATCCAAATAAATAAAATAATAATAATTAAAAAAAAAGGATTCCTGGTCAATCTACGGGTGTCTGTAATACATAACCGTTCAAGTAAACAACACCGAAACGAGAAATCGATCCATAGAAACTTAGAAAGCGAGGAAGAGCAATGGATTTCCTCCCCTTCGTTTGAGGAACATTCCTTGCCTTGACCGCATCTCATTCCCCGGAACAAGTCACAGACTCTAATTAACTTTCTATATTAAGTTTCTAATCAATAAATCACCGTGCGTACACGCGTGACAGAGTTCATGGGAGCCTTATGGTGAGTAATACCTTTTCGCGCCGTGCGCCTGGCATTCTGCGGATTCCCTTCTCAACCATGGCGTATCCAATTGCCTTGTCACTCCACTCCTTCAGCTTCTTTATCGGGATACTAGTAGAAGCATCGCTGCAAATAGAAGGGCAGAGCATGCACAAGAGACAGGGAATCATTGAATTTCCACCATCCCAAAGGCGATTCAAACATCTCAAGAAGACCTCTACAACAGGGAAATGAATGAACGGAACTACAACATGGCAAAGCCTCAAACAGTTTCGTCGAATCAAAGGGCCGGCAGAATTACAAAATGTGATTGGATAAACCATTATCCAGGGTTTTCAAGATATATCACTCTTTGAATTTGAAAACAGCGACATCAAGACTCGTAACTCCCAAAGCACAAATGGCAATGAAGAAACGTCATCGAAGATTGTCATGAAGAATCGCCTCCTGAAGCTTGGTGCATTAATTTCACGCTCTCCCGCCCACATACACACATGCGAGCTCTCTCTCTCTCTCTCTCTCTCTCTCTCTCTCTCTCTCTCTCTCTCTCTCTCTCTCTCTCTCTCTCTCTCTCTCTCTCT